TCCCCTCTCTGTGACCTGCCCTCACCTCTTCAGGGCCCCAGGTCAAAGGCCACCTCCAGCGCTGGGCCCCTGACCCACCGTGGCCAGCTGGAGCCCTTGCCTTTCCACCCCGGGGAGCATCCATGACAAGGACACGGGGCTGAGGTCTGGCCTGTCCTCTTGGGCGGTCGGAGCCCGCCTCTTTCCTGCGGCAGCCGTGTGCTGAGGGGGTGGGGGCCACCCCCGGGCCTCGGGGAAGACACCGTGGACAGGAAGGGCCTCTGAGCACGGAGGATCTTCCCCTGGGGCCTAGGCAGCCCTGCCACAGCCCCGGGAGGAGTCCTCCAGGTGTCGAAACCACCGAAAGTGAAACTATGGAAACTGAATGGGCAGGAAGGGCCTGGCAGGGGAGGCTCCCCTGGCCTCCGATGGGCCCTGTGGACACCCGGCCCACAGGCCAGGACTCGACGGCTGCTGCCCTGGGGGCCTGGGGCCGGCGGCCGGCCCCTGGCCCCCGGCCCCCGGCCCCTCTGTGGGGCTCCGTCTCCTTAGCTCTCCCATTGAGGTGGGAGAGGGGCAGGGCTGGGCGAGGGCCCCGCTGAGGGTGAACGTTTGGCGCCAGAGCGCTCCACCCGCTGCCTGGGCCGGGACCACCTAGCGGGTCACTTCCTCCCCTGGGTTTGGTTAACTTAGGAGTAAATAGGAAAAGCAGCCCCTTCCCCAGCTGGAGAGAATGGCAAGAGACTGCTGGGGGCCCTGAATAGGGGAGGGCGAGCAGACGGCCCAGGGACGGAGGCTCTGAGCCCTGCCCAAGCTGGGGTTTAGCTGTGTGTCCTTGGGGGACTCTCCCACCCTCTCTGGGCCTCCACGTCCTCTTTGGGTGAACGGGACTCGGCCACTCAGCAGAAGCAGGACCTGGTGGGGAGATAAAAATAACCAGGGTCCCCGTGTACCTCCTCACCTCCACTACCTCATTTAAAACTAGCAGCAGGCCTTGGAGGCGAGGGGCGCTGTACCCCCGTTTTATAGACAGGTCAGTAGATGGCCAAGTCAGGCAGGAGCCGGGTCTCCGGGCTGCAGGTTTGGAAGTTCCGGCCTGAAGTCTGTCCTCAGAGGGAGGGCTTTTCTTTGCCCCAGGCTCCCTGAAAGGCGGGGCTGGCCAAATGAGGGGTTGCAGGGAGCTAGATCCGGGATCGCGGTGGGCAGCAGTCCCAGACAGCTGCTGTGACCAGTCTGGCCTGGTACCCGGCTCACGGGGCCACGGGGCCTGGCCCTCCCCTTGGGTGGTCAGCACAGGAGTCCAGAGACCTGGTCAGACCCCTCCCCTGGGGTTTCAGCCCTCCCCCGGCTCATCCCCTCCCCCTCCTCTACCTTGGCCCCTGCCTGGGCCAGGACCCACACCCGCGACATTTACAGAGCAAATGAAGGGGCTGAGGCCCTTCAGGATCCAGACTAGTCACTTCTGTACCCCCCACCTCCTTCTCCCTTGGGAGGCCGGAGGCTAAGGCCAGCTCCTCCAGACACCTCTCCTCTTGAGACCCTGGCTCGCCACGATGAGCCGCGCTGCAGGCGAGGGTCTGCGCTCTCTTCTAGCTCTGCCTCTTCCTCGTTCGGTTGGGCCTCAGTTTCCGCATCTGTAGAATGGGTTCCTCCCTCCCAGAAAGATGCAGCAGAGAAAGCTCTGAGCAGAGTCTGGCCCGGCAGAGCTCAATACGAGGGATCACAGGCTGTTAACACCCCTATTCTCCTCCTCTTCCTCCTCTGAGTCGCAACTGTGCACCCCCACTCCCCAACAAGGGCTGACACCCGCGGGCCTGCGGACTGAGCTGCCTCTACTGATCCACACGGGTGGGGGCGCCAAGACTCCCTTCCGGGGCGGAGGGAAGCGAGGGCGGCAGGAAGAGCGGGGGGCCCCGCAGCCCGCTCTGGGGCACTCACCCCGGGTCGGCCGCACGCGGCACCGCTCGACTCCACTCGGATCTCCTGGCTCAACTTCTCTCTGCCTCCGCGGCGCCCACGCAACTCACTTTTCCCGACAGGCGGGGCCGGGAGGGGCGGAGCCAGGGAAGCCCCGCCCCCAGGCCGCCCCGGGCCCGCCCCCGGAGTCCTGGAGCGGGTGCGCGAGACCCGGCCGAGGGCTGGTGGGAGGCAGGCCTTGGGCTGGGCCCTCGCTTCCTCGCCCCCAAGGTGGGAAACCGTTCAGAGCCGTGAGCCGCCTAAATCTGGGCGAGGAAGCCCAGACCCCAGGGCAGACACTGGCGCCCACCGTGCACGTCTACAAGGCTGGGATGTGGGGAAGTGCTCAACCCAGGCCCAGGGGCTACATGGGGCGACCTCCACCACCTGGGCCTATGGCTGACAAGACCCCTAATACACTCGGGCCCCAGGCCCGACCCACGTGTCCCCACCTCTGGGCCCCCTTCCCTCTTGAGTGAGGCTGTAGTCACACAGGTCCTTCTATCTTCCTGTGTCTGAGCAGCCACCTGGACTCCAGGCCCAGTGCTCTGGGCCTCCCCCTCAGTGGCAGCAGGACCCCGAGGGCCAGGCGGCAGACCGCAGCCAGCAGGCACTGGGCAGTGCGCTGCCCTCACTGTCGCTGCCCTCACTGTCGCTGCTCCTGTGACTGGACTTGTCCCTGTGTCCTTACTCCTAATTAGCTGCATGCAGCCTGTCCGGTCCCAGCCTGTGGGTCACCACTGTCCACTGTCCACTGCACTTTGGATGGGCCAAGACTGTACCCACTGGGGCCCGTCAGATCTGGTGATCCTTGAACCCCCACAGCAGAGGAGGGGCCTCTGGTGGTGGTGGTGTAGTCGCTAAGTCGTATCCAACTCGTGTGACCCCATGGACTGTGGCCCGCCAGGCTCCTCCATCCATGGGATTCTCCAGGTGGGAATACTGGAGTGGGTTGCCATTTCCTTCTCCAAGGGATCTTCTCGAATTGAAGGAATTGAACCTGGGTCTCCTGCATTGCAGGTAGATTCTCTCCCAATTGAGCTATAAGGGAAGCCCAAGGGTCTCTGAGGGGTGGGCAAATGGAGCCCCAGAGCTGGGGGCTGGAAACTGAGTCACAGCCAAGGTGTCTTCAGAAGAGTGGGGGACACTTTTGGTAGGGTTACTTTCAAGGAGAAACTTCAACACAACTGAACTTAGTACCACTGGGGGCCTCAGGTCAGTGCCTCCTGTATAGGGCAAACTGGAACTCTTAACATGTTTCAAAATGGCCTTAAGAGCTGCACTCTGACCCGGCAGTAAGGGAAAGAATTAAGTCAGGGGCTGGACAGGTTCATCTGTGGTGCTAGAGAAGACTCTTGAGAATCCCTTGGACAGCAAGGAGATCAAATCATTCAATCCTAAAGGAAATCAACCCTGAATATTCATTGGAAGGACTGATGCTGAAGCTCCAATACTTTGGCCAACTGATGCAAAAAGCCAACTCATTAGAAAAGACCCCAATGCTGGAAAAGATTGAGGGCAGAAGGGGGCAACAGAGGGCAAAACGGTTGGATGGCATCATCGGATGAATGGACGTAAGTTTAAGCAAACTCTGGGAAATAGGGAAAGACAGGGAAGCCTGGTGTGCTGCAGTTCATGGGGTCAGAAAGAGTTGGACATGACTGAGTCAACAATTTCCCTGTGTACAGATAGACTCAATGTCAAGCTATGTTTGAAAAAAAGCAAAACTAGAAGTGATTTAGGATATTCAAGCCTGCCTGACAGCTGGCCTGTTTTTTGGAGTTCCTGCTGCCAGCAGCCGCCAGGACTAACAGTGCTGGACTCATTGACACTCCCGGGCTCAAGTTGTCCTTTCTGGTCCTGTACTTCTTACCTCTGAGCCACCCTGTGGGATGTAAGGTCCCCAAAACCTTGGCCAATGGTGGGACCACACAGGTCCTGGGAGATGGCCCAGCAGGGCCTGGTAAGCAGGCCCATATGTCAACAGGTGGTCTGAGAAAGGGGGGTCTCCGGGAATGAATTGGGCAAAGTCTGGGCTCCTCTGCTGCAGGCCTTCTCAGAGCCTTGAATACGCTCCCGGGCAGAGCCTGTCCCAGGAGAGGCCCCTTGGGGCACTTCCTACACTTACTGATCCAAAGAACACCCTCCCCCTTCTAAGATGCATCTGGGGAGATTAGTGTTTTGTAAAAAAGCACTTTTGGAAATGATGAAGGGAATTCTTGAGATCTCTCAGACCTCAGTTAGTTTTTTCCTCAAGATGTGTGCTGTGTGACCTTGAGCAAGTCACTTCACCTCTCTGAGCCAGCTTCCTCACTGCTGAGAATGAACTGAAATACTCTCACACCGCTCGGCACCAAGTCAGAAGGGGCTGTTGTGGGGGCTATTCTACTGGCACTGGTCCCCAGAAGGGACCACATGGCCTTGCTGGGGCTACAAAGCAGGAAGTCCTGAGCATCAGAGGCCGCGCGAGCTGTCTGCTCTGAGGAACTTGGAGAGGAAAGGGATGTGGCTGGAGGACAGGCAAAGCCAGCTCACGGGCAGCAGGGCTTGTGTCATCCCCTCGTGACTGTTACCCCAGAGCAGGCTTCCCCCACTCCACCCCTGGCAAGGATGCCCTGGCCTTTCCAAGTTCCTGCTACTTGATGTACTTCTGCCTGCGCTTGGGCAAACGAGACTTTGCCTAACTTATTTCTGGAGAGCCCCCTTTCTCAGAAGGCTCTAGGTTCTCAAGGGTCTCAGCTGTGGGTGGTCCTCAGGAGAGGACAGGCCCCGGCCTCACCAACTGGACACACAGGATTATGCAAACAGTGCCCTGAGCTGACCTTCAGCTAAGCCTTTGTGGAATAAGCCCAGGAAGACATGTGGGCCGCGGGCTGCTGTGGGCTGGGGCCCAGCCACAGGGAGGGCCTGGCAGGTCCCACAGGAAGGCAACTTGGTCCAAGGATCTGATCCAACGGAAGAATCCACAGGCTGCGGACGGTCCCGGCCCAGACAGCAGACGCATGACGGAGGCAGTGGGGGAGGTCAGAGCTTTTTATTGGGCAGGAGGGGCTGCAGCCAGCCGGTTATCGGTACAGGTAGTCGGCCTGAATGTTGGCGGCGATCTCAGCCTCCCACTTGTCCCCGTTGTTGAGCAGCTTTTCCTTATTGTACAGAAGCTCCTCATGTGTCTCCGTGGAAAACTCAAAGTTGGGACCCTGCAGGCGGGGAGCAGGAGCAGGTGAGTCAGTCCCCTCCCAGGAGCTCCCGCCCCCTCCTCCCCCACCGCGGGGCCCCACTCACCTCCACGATGGCATCCACGGGGCAGGCCTCCTGGCAGAAGCCACAGTAGATGCACTTGGTCATGTCGATGTCGTAGCGCGTGGTCCGGCGGCTGCCATCGGCCCGCGGCTCAGCCTCGATGGTGATGGCCTGGGCGGTGGCACAGGGGACTGTCAGCTGCTAGCCACACTGGCCCCTGGCACAGGACTCAGTCCTGCATGGGCCTACAGAAAGGCCCCTCTGTCGTCCACTCTCAGCCCTCGTGGGCCTCTCCTGACTCCCCTCCTAAGAGGCCACGTGGCATGGCCATGAGGCCGGCCTCTGCATGCTTGCCCGAGCCGACACTCTCATTTGCTATCGGCCAGCACCTCCTGTCCAAGGACGCGAGTCCCACGAGGGGAGGGCTGTTGCATGCCTGGCACACCATAGCACCTGCAGCCCCAGGGGGTTTCACCTTGTAAATAATGCACTTTCTGCTGGCTGCATGTTGAACAACCCTCCCAACTACACCTAGTTATCTCCACTTAATGGATGAGAAAACTGAAGCTCAGAAAGGTGGAGGGCCTTCCCAAAGCCAAGGAGTAAACGAGGGGCAGAGCCCAGACTCAAACACAGGTCCTTAACGCTCAGTTCCCGGGTGCAGCCTGGCACCGCCGAAGGAAGCGGTGGCCCAGGGCTTCCGCAGAGGCGAGGACCTCCAAAGGGATGTGGCCGTGGCCCTGAGACGTCCCCAGGAGCATAAGGCCCACCACTCACAGAGGGACCTTTGCCTAGTAGCCTCTCTCTTTGTGCCTCACTTTCCTCCTCTATAAAAATGGGGATAATAACCCTGACCACCTAGAGCTGCTGCAGAGAGAGGTCGTGAGCTTGGCACAGTGCTGGTCTATGGTTGGCACTCACTGCCCAGATGCCACTGTTATTTCTGGGGGGGCTCCTATGTGCTCCAGAGACTGGGGACTGCAAGGCCACAGCTCACGGGCTGCAGAACCTGGGAGTGATGCAGGAGACGAGCCAGGACTCGGGCGGAAGCCGTCCTGAGTCACAGAGACGTGGCCGGAGCAACCGCTGGGAGGGGGACACTGTGTGGACAGTGAGGACCCTGTGACTGCTGTGTACTGCCGGGCACACCATCACCTGAGCGCCCCCCACTTTGTCTGTTTCTGCACCCACAGGCTGTGACTCTTGGCAGTCCGTGCGGGACCCTCCGACAGAACCAAATGCCAGGGGCTCAAAGGAGCTGCAGCCAGGGGCAGCGGGCGGCCCGGCTGTGGCCCGAGTGGCCCCGGGTCCGGCCCTGTGAAGGGCACACGTGTAGGCAGGGCTCCTGACACTGCTGCTGCACCATGTCAAAGTGGTGGCTCCGGCCTGGCTCTCACACTCACGACCAGACCCCCAACGGCAGGCCCCAAGTGTGTCCTGTGGTCTGCTCAGAACTGGAAGCTTCCCTCCGTTGACTCACCACCTTTGAGTCGGCTCCGGCAAAAAGGCCTCATGGTTCCTATCCCGGGGCAAGTGGCTCAGAGCGGGAGGGGACTTCCCTGGGGACACACCCAGCAGGGGGTTGAGAACTGGGACCCAGGGCTGCCCGCTTCTCTTTCTCTCTGCAGCAGACTGTGGCCACCCCTTCCCAGCGGCCGGGGTCAGGGTGGCGGTCAGCTGGGGTCGGGGCATACCTGGGCAGGGCAGACGGCCTCACAGAGCTTGCAGGCGATGCAGCGCTCCTCCCCAGACGGGTATCGGCGTAGCGCGTGCTCCCCACGGAAGCGCGGGCTCAGTGGGCCCTTCTCAAACGGGTAGTTGATGGTGGCCGGCTCGCGGAACAGGTAGCTCAGGGTCATGCCCAGGCCTGGGGGCAGCACGGGCGCAGTGGAGGGGGGCCCTCCTCCCTCCCACATCTCTACCCACCCTGAGCCCACCTCGAGCCTCCCATCCCCCGGGCCCACCTCGAACGAGCTCGGTCCACAGCAGGGTCTGTGCTGCCCGGTCGGTCACCGACTTCATGTCCATCGCGGGCTCCCGCAGGTTCACATACTCTGCAGGGGAGGCGGGCAGAGAGGCCATGGCAGGGACCGCGCACAGGCCCTCTTCAAGGACTCCAGCTCAGGAGATGAGGCCTGGCCTCCTAAACATAAGATCTGGGTCCCTGGGGGGCTTGTTCATTCACCAAACGCCCCTTGCCTCAGTAACCCTCGAGGCGGGCCTCCGGCCAGGGACAGTCCTGGCCTGCTTCTCCCTCCGCCTGTGTGGCCATCCAGGCCCAGAGGGGACGCAGGTGGGGCTTGGGTGCTCGGGTCCTGAGGAGGAGGTACAGGCTCCCAGGGGCTCACACCTGGCAGTCCCCTCCTTGTCCCACGCAGGGAGGTCTGAGATCACATGCATAGCCACAGGGAAGGACCACCCGCCCCCCCCTGCCCTGCAATAACAGACCCCTCCCCCATGAATCATCTTGATCACCCGCTTCGTTTTACAGAGGGGAAACAGGCTCCGAGAGGGGGAGCCCCCAGCAAAGCCAGGATGAGAACCCAGGCCTTCGCCCCTGCCCCCGGCAGGACCATGATCACCAAGCCTGAGGCTCGAGGCACCCCGGGACTCACTGTAGGTGGCTGCCACTGCACTGCTGTGGACGCCCCGGCCACTGGCATGCCCTGCAAGGAGAAGGGTTACGCCATGCAGATATGACCTCATGCCGGGAGGCTGGGCGCCCACACCCTGGAAAGGTGCCTGTGGTCCTACCTGCACGTGCGGCCTGGGCCTGGGCCAGGGCCCGAAGCAGCGTGGGCATGGTCAGGCAGCGCATCTGTGGGGTGTGAAAAGAGAGGCAGGCACAGGTGGGTCCCAGACAGGTGTGGTCCTCCCCATATGAAACTCCAACACGGCAGGTGCCCTGACCCTTGACCCCAGTGCCACTGTGGCGTCTCGGCCCCTGCTCACCCTCGTTCCTGCCAGAGGCACAGATGGCCTCCCTGTTCCCAGCAGCTGCCCCTCTCAACCTCCAACCTGACCCAAGTAACACTGACTTGCATTTATTGAGAGCTAGCCGTGCCAGGCACAGTGCTAGGGATCACAGGTGAGACACTGTCATGTTAAGTGAGTTGCCCAAAGTCGCATACTGAAGGGAGGGTTCCTGATGTGAACCAGGCCAAACCCCACCCTTCACACCCCCCAGCCTTCCCCTGCTGGGACCCCTTAAAGGCTTAAATAATCCTCAAAATCAAATTCCTCTCCCCTGCCCCCCGCATCAAGGTCCTTCTGGAACTGCCTCCCAGCCTGCCGAATGACCTTGGGTTTTCTCCTCTGTGATAAGGGGGTCAGGGGGATGGAGGGGGGCTCGAAGAGGCCACGGGTTTAGCCCAGAGCCTGGCACTTAGCCAGAGCCGCAAAGTGCCCTTCCCGTGACCTGCGACCTCTGGCGGGCCCATTTCTTTCGACCGCTGACTTCAGGGTCAGGTGCCCAAACCGGCTCCTTCCTTAACTTTCCTCCCGACCTCTAACCCCACTGAGTCGGCGGCGCATGCGCCCTGGAGGCCGCCGGCGTCTCGGTCACCCCCAGCCCCGGCTGCACGCCCAAGGACACGGCTGCCGCGCGTGCTGAGCAGGCCGAGGTGAAACCTGGGCGCGGAGCCGGCAGGGCCCACGGGGGCCGCACCCCCGCCCCCCGATGCCGCGCTGCCTAGACTCGGCCTTAAGGGCTGAGACCGCATCACCCACCTTGAAGCGCGGCCGCTCCGTCCGGTGCGGCGCGGCCCGTCCGCCGAGAGGCGGAGCCTGCCTCCCGAGACGCTGCCATTGGACCGGCTGGCTTCGCCATTTCCGCGCTGACTCTCCATGGCGTGGTCTGATTGGCTGGCGGTGCCTCCGAAGGAGGCGGGATAAAAAACAATCTTCTCCCGATTGGCTAGGGAAGAGCAGACGCTGGAAGGGCGAAGGAGCCGGGACTCCCAAACCCTTGAGAGGCGGGACATCCGAGGCGTGGTTTCAGGGTGCAGCTCCCATCCGACCGGGCCGTCCGGGTGAAGGGAGACGCGCTGCGCCCCGGCGGGGTACGGGCGATAACGGTGATTCTGCACCATAGCTGGGCCTTGGTAGGCTTTTGGGCTTCCCTGTGGCTCATCTAGTAAAGAATCTGCCTGCAATGCGGGAGACCTGGGTTCGATCCCTGGGTTGGAAAGATCTCCTGGAGAAGGAAAAGGCTACCCACTGTATTATTCTGGCCTGGAGAATTCCATATACAGTCCATGGGGTCACAAAGAGTCGGACACGACTGAGCGACTTTCGCTTTCACTTTGGAGCCCTCCAGTCAGGAATCCTCCAGTTAGGATTCTCCAGGCAAGAATACTGGAGTGGGTTGCCATTCCCTTCTCCAGGGGATCTTTCCGACCCAGCGATCGAACCTGAGTCTCCCGCACTGCATGCAGACGCTTTATCATCATAGCTGTGCTTGCTCTATGCCAAACCTCCACCCGGGCAGCTTCACTTAATCCTCACCACAACCCTATGTGGAGGAACGATTTACGAATGGGAAAACTGAGACCCGGGCTTGTGCAGGAGCTTGGTCCAATCCTTGAGAGCTGCGCAGTGCGGCCGCCTCAACCGCTCCTGGATGTATACGACTTGGGAGCCCCATAACCCAAACAGCCACCAAACAAACCCATGTTTCCTCCCGGTGACTTGTGTGGCAGAGGGAACTAGGAGGCTGCAGACACTGAGAAGACCCCTGAAGGCCGCCCGTATCTTGGCGGGGGGGGGGCCGGGAGTGGAATGTGGACAAGGAGGGCTTCCTGGAAGAGCTGACATCCAAGCAGAGAGCACGGAGGGGTTGGGCAGAACAAGAAGGGCCAGAGGGCGCGCCCAGGGCATGTGCGGAGGCCGCTGGAGCAGGACACTTCAAGGGCATCAGAAGAGGACAAGGATGGCGGTGCAGGGCGTACGCGGGGCTGTGGCAGAGCCTCCCAAGGGACGTTTCCTGTCCAGATTTGTGGGCTAGAGGGGGCCAGTGAAGGGGTTCAGGCTGAGGCCTGGCATGGTCCAGTGGGCTTTGGGAAGGTCTGTGGGTGCACTGAGGAGAAGGACCGGGCCTGTGGGAAGAGGGTAGGTGATGGATGGCCCTGGGCACAGCCTTTAGAGTGTGAATTGGGGAGATCCGTGGCGTCATTGAATCATCAGGAACTGCTCAAAGATGGGACTTGGGAGGTAGAAGGGAGTGTCCAGCAGGAGGCCTGGGAGTCTGACGGCTGAATGGGTGGGGACCGCTCCAGAGCATCGAGGCTCAGGAGGATGAGCAGGCTGAATGGGTGGGGACCGCTCCAGAGCATCGAGGCTCAGGAGGATGAGCGGGCTGAATGGGTGGGGACCGCTCCAGAGCATCGAGGCTCAGGAGGATGAGCGGGCTGAATGGGTGGGGACCGCTCCAGAGCATCGAGGCTCAGGAGGATGAGCGGGCTGAATGGGTGGGGACCGCTCCAGAGCATCGAGGCTCAGGAGGATGAGCGGGCTGAATGGGTGGGGACCGCTCCAGAGCATCGAGGCTCAGGAGGATGAGCGGGTCAGGGAGACGGGTGAGCCAGGGTGGGACATGGCGAGGGGAGGGTGCCCAGGGCCAGCCATCTGGGGGGCAGGAGCGTGTTCAGAGCGCCTCTGAGGCCCAAGCTGAAGGGAAGGGGGATCTACTGCGGGCATCTCATCAATCTTTCCTGGAGGGAGAGGTGGGGAGAGAGACAAGGGAGGCAGTGTCCCCCCACCCGAATCAGGAGACAGGACGCTGGAGCTTGGAGTCCGCAATTATGTTCCAAAATTTAATCCTCACAATGATCTCAGGAGATGACGTTCGTCACCTCCTCTGTACACGAGATAGGGGGGCAGGCTCAGAGAGGGCAGGGATGACCCAGGTCACGGCAGGTCCACAGCAGGGCGTGGACCAGATGCCAGGGCCCCTTCTGCACCCCTCCACAGAAAGAGGGGTCCCAAGAAGTGCCCACAGCTGCCCGACTCTCCTGGGACATAGGTGGCCAGCCTGGGAGCTAGAGAGCAGGCTACACAGTTTCCCACGCTCCCACACCTTGGCCCATCCTGGTTGGGGGGCAGCTGAGGGCCTGAAAAGAGAAGGGAGGAGGGCAAGCACTGGTCTGGACTGAGGCCTTGGCAGGTCCTTTCCCCCTCCGTCGTGGATCCCATGTCGTGTCTCCGCCAGCCTCAGGTGGCCACGGCAGCAGAGGACTCGTGGACATGGGCTGGGAGGGACGCTCGGTGCCCCCGTGCCTGGGGTGGGCTCAGAGCAGGGTGCAGCTGCAGCTGCGGGTCCCCATAGCCATCAGCAGCACCCTCAAGTTGCGCGGAGTGTGGGGCGGGTAGCGGATGGCGTAGATCTTCTCCAGCCCCGGGGGGCGCAGCAGGCAGGCGCGGTGGTGGGAGAAGGTGTCGAAGGAGAACCTGCCATGGTAGCTGCCCATCCCGCTGCTGCCTGCAGAGGGGCAGGGGGCGCGAAGGTCAGGCCCCCCAGAGGGGCAGGGGGCGCGACGGTCAGGCCCCCCAGAGGGGCAGGGGGCGCGAAGGTCAGCCCCCCAGAGGGGCAGGGGGCGCGACGGTCGGGCCCCCCAGAGGGGCAGGGGGCGCGACGGTCGGGCCCCCCAGAGGGGCAGGGGGCGCGACGGTCGGGCCCCCCAGAGGGGCAGGGGGCGCGACGGTCGGGCCCCCCAGAGGGGCAGGGGGCGCGACGGTCGGGCCCCCCAGAGGGGCAGGGGGCGCGACGGTCGGGCCCCCCAGTGGCCAGCCGAGGGCTGTCAGACACACCGGGCTCTGCCGGTCACGGGGTAGGACCTGGGTGGGCTGCTTCATCCCCTGAGCCTTGGTTTCCCCACCTGTAAAGTGGGCTAGTCATGAGATGCTGTGGGTAAGGGGCTTAGCCCCACCCTGGCACCAACACCCAGTCAAATAAATGTTGAGGACGCCAGGTCTGGGGCAAGATGGGTGGACGGTGGGTGAGTGGTCCCAACCCAGGGATCGAACCCTGGTGTCCTGCATCACAAGCAGATTCTTCACCATTTGAGCTACAGGGAAGTCGTGTGTGTGTGTGTATAAAACTGAATTGCTGAAACCAACACATTATTGTAAATCAAATATACTTCAGTTAAAAAAAAAAAAGAGGGAGGCAAGATGGAAAGTAAGGAAAGCAACCCCACAGTGGATTCTGGGGTGACTCCCTAGGTTTGAATCCCAGCTTTGAACTGGCAAGTGACTTCGCCTGGTCTCTCTCTCTGTGACGTGGGGTGACAGTGGCACTACCTTCTAGAGTCGTGGGAACAAGTGTTCAGCCCCACAGGCACAGCGAGTGCTGTGTTGAGCCCACAGTGTCTAGCTAGGCAGGGAGGCAGTCAAGGACCAGGTAGTAGGAAGTCCAGGGGATGCAGCCTGAGGGAAGCAGGGGCAATCTGAGAGGGCTTCCTGGAGTGGGTGAGGCCTGAGGGATACGGCACTGACCAGATAAAGTGGGCATGTGGGGGCAGGAAGGCCCCAGACTGAGGGACAACTCCAGAGAGCGTTGGAGGTGGGTGACCTGGCTGTGCTGGGACCCAGGCAAGCTCCGTGTGGCTGAGGCGGCAGCTAGGGAAACGGGAGAGGAGGCGGGAGCAGGACTCCACGGCCAGGCCAGGCAGGGCCAGCCTCCAGAAGCTGAGTTGGGGTCCTGTGGCTCCGTCAGGGGCTGGGAATTATGGGGGGCTTCGTCAGGGGAGTAACAGGACCAGGTTCACCCACCGACAGACCCGCTCACTTCCCTGAGGAGGAGGGACTGGGCCTGGAGGTGGGGAGCCAGGTGGGCTGGGGGCGGGACTTCCAGAAGGGGGTTGGTCCGTGCCCAGCCCTGGGAGGGCCTGTGACCACCAGGGCAGCCCGCCAGGCCCTGCCAGTCATTTACCGCGGTGCCCAGTGTGGGCCCTCTCGTCCCCTGAGGACGGGGTCGCTCAGAGAGGGGCCGTGGTGGCCCCACCTCACACAGCCATCGGGCTTGCTGGGGCCAGCCTCAGAGGCCAGGACCTTGCAGCCAGCTTGGGGGCTGCTAGGGCCTGGTGCAGGGGCGAGCTGACAGCAGCCCCCCATCTCCATCATGGGCCCGAGGGGGTGTGGGAGGGCTTGAAGGAGCCGCGTGTAGCCACATGTGGAGTAGAGAGCACAGCCGGGCCGCCCTGCACGCGCTGCCAGGCCATTCGGGGAGAAAAGCCGCAGCAGGCACCGTGAACGGAAATCACAGTGATGTTGGAAACAACCTAAGTTGTGTGTCTGTGGGTCCGCCTGCAGATGGAAGTGCCAGGACCGGCGTGGAAGGTTCCACTCCAGGCTCAGCGGAGGGGAACGGGGGAAGGTGAGAGATGGTACCTACCCACTCCTCCGAAAGGCAGGCTGGCCAAGGTCAAGTGCATGAAGCCGTCGTTCCCACAGAAGCCCCCGCTGCTGGTCTGGGCCAGGACCCGCTTCACCACCTAAGGGGAAGCAGCGGTGAGGCTGGTGAGGGAGCTGCCAGGGCCCCAGGGCTCTACCTGACCCTCCTCGGAATCCCAAGGCTCCATCTGGCCCCCTTGGCGCACCGGGGCCCATGGCAGGGTCTGAGGCCACCATGTGAGCTGAAGAGTAGCCTGCCACCCCCACATCCCCACTGGAGATGTGTGTCTTGAGCCTCCTTTGAGTGTGGTCCATGAAGGCGGCCGTGGACACAGACTCAGGCTGGCAGAGGAGGCGGGAAACCCCGCCTCCTCCCAGGGTCATGGAGGGATGGGCGATCAGGGAGATGCCCTGGGAGGGATGTGAGGTGCCTGCTGGGTGTCCAGAGGGCAGAGGTGAGTAGGAGGGACCCCCCCACCCAGGGTGAAGGCCAGGTGGGGAGGCCGAGGGGCAGGGAAGCTGTGGGAGGCCTTGCGGTCTGCACCACCGGGAGGACACTGAGATTTGTACTTTGGAAACATGAACTTGACCCCTGCTCGACTTAAGGAGGGCCCTTCCTCTTCAGTCTGTGGACCCTAAAGAAAGATTCAGTTCAGTCGCTCAGTCGTGTCTGACTCTCTGCAACCCCGTGGACTGCAGCACACCAGGCTTCCCTGTCCATCACCAAGATGAGCAGACACTAAAGATTTGTTGCACAAAAAGTTGGCTGTAGTTAATTACAACGTGTGACCCTCAGGTCACAGCTAGATCAGGGCCTGCCCGAAGAGTGGAACCCCATCCTCAGGGTCAGAAAATCCCGTTGAGACCTGCAGTAAGGACAGCAGAAGGCAGAGTTGAGACCATCAGTGCTCAGTGAGGACCCAGGGCAGGGCACGCGGGGTGGGATGAGGGTTTGTGTCACCGCGTGCCCTGGAACAGTGCTTGAAAGCTTGAAAGCTGATTGGCCAGATGACCCCCCTCCCCGCTCCAAACACCTGGGTAGCACTTCCTTTTTTGACTGCTCTGTGCAGCATGTGGAGTCAGTTCCCCCACCAGGGAGTGAGCCTGTGCCCCCTGCACTGGGAGCAGGTTTAACAGAGTCTTAACTGGATAACAAGGAAAGTCCCTGGGTTGCATTTTCTAAAGTTAACAATATGCAGATAAACAAGGGCTCCTTGGAGGAACAGCTGATTCTAGGGCCAGGAAGCTTGTAGACCCAGAAAGGAAGGAAGTGGTGGGAAAACCAAAGGATGGGCAGGTGTCTGGGACAGAGCAGCTCCCAGGGCCCAGAGGCCGGACAGGTTGAATGAAAATCAGTTGGTATTGGGGACAGATTGAACAAGGAAACAAATCAGGTGGTATTTGGTTGTAACCTGGAAAATAAAGCAGATGCACTGGAGTCCATGTTGATATAAAGAACCAGGCTTCCCTGGTGGGCCAGTGGTTAAGACTCCGTGCTTCCATTGCAGGAAGCACAGGTTCAGTTCTTGGTTGGAGAACTAAGATTGCACGTGCCACATGGTATGGCCAAAAAGAAAAAAGGCATTGATATAAAGAACCAGGCCAAGATTCCAGGTAGGATGTGTAGATGTTCCCCCTCCAGCAGGTAGAGCTTACTCTCACCACCTTCCATTGAAGGTAGGCTAGACTTAGCGACTTGCTCTCACAGAAGAGAATAAGGAAAGGGAAAAATAGTCCTTGGTGGAGACCTGTGCCAGATCCAACCTTGGCCAGGGATGAAGGTTAACCTCACCAGTGATGCATGGATCTCATAGTCCCCTGAGGATGAGCAGAGATGGGCCCTTGGCCCTGGGGGTTTCTTTCATGAGAGAAACAGCTGGCCACTGATATGGGGGACATTCTGCAGGACAGAAGGCCAGCACCTGGTAAGCTGAGAGATGACCACAAGGGGATCAGAGGAGCCATGGCAGCTAAATGCAGCTCGGGACCCTGGCCTGAATCCTGGGGCGGAAAGAAAAACTGGCAAAATCTGTCTAAAGCCTGGAGTGTGGTTGACAGCAATGTGCCAATGTCAGTTTCTTAGTTTTGACCAACGTAAGGGGAGAAACTGGAATATATGGGTCTTCCCTGGACTCTCTGAAACTTTTCTGTAAATCTAAAATTATTCCAAAATTAAAAGTTTATTTTAAAAAAGGCTTGCTAGGACTTTCCTGGTGGTCCAGTGGGTAAGACTCCATGCTCCCAGGGCAGGAGGTCTGTGTTCCACCCCTGATCGGAGAACTAGATCCCACATGCCTGCTGCAACTAAGAGTTCGCATGCCACAGCTAAGACCTGACACAGCCTAAATAAATAAAATAAAAAGTAAAAGAGCGTTGTCCAGGGGAATCCCATGGAGGGTCTGCACTTCCACTGCAGGGGCCATGGGTTCGAGCCCTGGTTGGGAACTAAGATACTGCATGCTACACAGCACACCGGGATGGGGCGGGGGGCAGGAGGGAAGCATTGCCCAGCCTATGAGGGGTCTCAGGAGTGCTGGGGGTGAGGGACGTGTGTTCTGAGCTGGAGATTGCTGGCCACACACATGTGAGCCTCCCCTCCTAGGGATGGGCAGGGGACCCCAGGGAGGGGCAGGGGACCAGGGCTCACTCTTGGGTCTGCGTGTTCTGGTCATTCCCCTCTCAGTCATTCCATCCCATGTTGTGTGTGCCTTCCACGAGCCAAGCACTGAAGGGGACAGTGTGGCCACCAGGCAGAGATGATGCAGAATAAGAGAGGCCAGGGCTGACCTAGAGGGGACGCTGAGCCCTAGAGGAGACCCTGGGGAGCTGCCCACTAAAGGCCCAGGAGAACGTGGCCTAGATTGAAAGGCAGGGGGGAGGCCCTGCTGCCCCCAGGAGAAAGGAGAGAGACAGAGCCAAGCGTGCCTCCTGTCAGTGCCCCCGAGGGCCCAGGACCCCCTGCCCTCCTGCCAGGCCCATTGGTCCACTCTGGTCGTGGAGCCATCGCCCTCTGCTGACCCCACTCCACTCTCCATTGCTGCCACCTGCCCCCGCCTGTGTCCAGCCCCACCTGGCTGCTCTTGGAGAAGACATAGAGGGCCAGGGGCTTCTCCCGACGGTTGATGAAGTCGATGGCCTGGCCCAGGCTCCTCACGTTCACGATGGGCAGGATGGGCCCGAAGATCTCCTCCTGCATCACCGGCTCGGTCTCCTGCACGTCCACCAGCACCGTGGGGGCTGCCCGGGACAGGGGGTCTGCTCAGCCCAGGGGCGGGGCCTCTGGTGGGCGGGGTCTCAGGTAGGCAGGGCCTCCGGCCTCCGGTTGCTGGGGCCTCTGGCGGGCGGGGCCTCTGATAGGTGGGGCCTCTGGAGGGCGGGGCCTCTGATAGGTGCGGCCTCTGGAGGGCGGAGCCTCTGATAGGTGGGGCCTCTGATGGGCGGGGCCTCTGGTAGGTGGGGCCTCCAGTGGGCGAACCCGCGGGATGTCAGGGCCCAGGGACCCAGATGTCCCAGGGATGGTACTATCCCCGCAGCCCCCGGGAAGTGACCACGAGGGGCTCCCCAACCTGACAGGGTCTGTGAGGCCCAGAGAACCATTCAGCCTTGGTCTCACAGTCAGAGGGTGACCCGATCTTAGACCCCAGAGGCTAAGGCCGCAGGTCCCAGCCTGTTAGACCCTCCAAGCCATTTGGCCCAGGAGACCAGGGTTCTTTGTTCACAGCAGAGCGGATACTCAGGATGGGCAGTGGAAGCTGAGAACCGGAATCGTGGGCACGTAGCACTTGGGGTCGTGTGGCCCGTGGAGCAGCAGATCGAGGGGCTGAAGTTGGGAACCTGAGCCTAGAACTCTAGGGTCTGACCTTGGAGAACTTGGGCCAGAGTGTGGAGTCGTGGGGTCGCGGGCTCAGACCCCGGCAACAGGGAACACCAGTGTCACGAAGTCGTGGCACCAGGCTGGGCTGTAGCGGTGGGGTCGGGGGAGCCTCAGAGCCCAGACTCGGGGCCCAGCTGTGGCCTCCAGCGTGGAGGGACCTTTACTGGGGTCGGGGGTGTGGGGCACAGTGGCAGGGAGGGCGGGGCTCACCGATGTAGAGATCACTTTCATCACTCTGGCCGCCAATGACCACGCGACCGCAGCTCAGGAGGCCCCGGAGCCGCTGGAAATGCTTCTCGTTGATGATGCGGCCCAGGTTCGGGGAGCTCTGGGGGTCGTCGCCATAGAAACGGGTGATGGCGCTCTGCAGGGCGGGCACCAGCTGCGCCTGCACCTCAGGGCTGCACAGGACGTAGTCGGGGGCCACGCAGGTCTGGCCGGCATTGAAACAGCGGAAGAAGGCCACCCGGTTGGCCACAGTCTCGGGGTCGCAGTTGTCGTCCACGTAGCAGGGGTTCTTGCCTCCCAGCTCCAGCGTGACGGGCGTCAGGTGCTTGGCGGCGGCAGTCATGACAATCTTGCCGACTTGAGGGTTCCCTGGGCAAGGAAGGAAACCAAAGTGGCTCTCCATCACTTGACCAGGCAGGGTGGCCCCAGCCCAGGGCTGGGCACCCTCAAGGGGGTTCACTCCCTGCCCTGTGCCTTCCTGGAGAGGCCTTTGAATGGGGTTTCATCTGGCCTTTCCTTGTCAGTTGCTGCTACACCTGGACCTTCCTCCCATCATCTTCCCCCTACCCCAACCCTGACCAGCCCCACACAGCAGAAGGTCCCCAGGAGCTTTGCCCCTGATAGCAAGCCGGCCGGCTCCCTCACCTGACTTGCCGGCTTAGACGTCCAGGAATACCACCACCCCACCCCCCCGCCCCCTACAATGTCTCCCGGCTCCTGATCCCAGGCTGGGACCTGCAGGGACTCTTTCAAACCCGCCCCTCTGCACCCTCCCTTCTCTCCACTGGCCTCTGAAAATGACCCCTGTGGCCCAAGGTCAGCGTCCCAGTCCAGCTGGCCCACATCGGGTCTCCCGTCCCTCTGACCTGACGCGGCAGCCCTGGCACCTCCCCCCGGCTGCTGCCTCTCCTCTGGGCTGGTCGCCCTGGTCTCACAGTCCCTCCTCCGCTCAGCCACCCCAACCACTCCCGATGCCCCCCAGGCCTTGAGGCCCTCCTGCCCATGCCTGACCAAGGGGCCATGCTGCCATTTGTGTCGTGATGACCCTGGTCCTTCTCCCCAGCCAGCACGGCCCGAGGGAGCCCGAAGCCCAGTCACCTCTCTGGTCTCACTTCCTTCTGCTTCCCTGTCGTTGGTCCCCTCTATCCAGGCCCCCCTCACCCCCCAGGTGCCCTCCCTTGACCACAGCTCCTCCCTCAGGGCCTCCTATCTTTGTCAAACACCTCCTTGACCATGAGGCCATCCTGACCAACCCCCACCACGTGCCTTCCCACCTCTGCCCTGATCAACTTGGAATGGGCTCCATGACAATGCAGGAGACCTTGTCTTCCTAGCCCTGCTTCATCCCAAGGCCTGGCTGTGCCAGGCCCGGTCTGCGCTCTAGTAAACATTCACTGAGCAAGCAGGTGAGCGAGTGAGTGGATGCTGCCCGGGGCACGTGCTGTGACAAAGGCTTTCATTCATCCACTATCCTTAGGACAGGCCTGAGACTTGGGGATGGCCCCTGTCCCACTGATAAGGAAACTGAGGCCTGGACAAGTCAGGAGATGTGGCAGAATACCTTCTGATGGTCCATCAGCCTCTGCACAGACTGCCTCGAGGGCCTGACCTGGACATTGGCCTCCGGGGTCTGCCTGCCTTGCCTCTGCAACCTCAGTCCTGAGGGACCAGGGCCCAAAGCCCACTGAGATTTGGGGTGTGGCAGTGGAAGGTGAGTGGAGGGTGGGTGGTAGGCCCCCCCGCCAGCTGCCTCCTCCTGGTATTCCCACCCCCTGGGAATCTGGAGGAACAGCTGAAGACCCTGCCTCTGTGCTCTCCCCGTCTCCTTCACTGTCTGTTATGGTGGCAGCTGGCAGGCCTTGTCCTGGGTTCGCGGCAGGGTCTGGGGAGGAGAGAGGCCGAGACAGCATCCCCGGACAGGGACGAGGTGTGCCATGGGGGAGGCAGGTCTGGCCTCCCTCCTCCGGGGCCTGGCCCGCTCACACGGCTGTCTGCCTCCTCCACCCTTTCTTCTCTTCTGGGAATTCTACCCTGGTCCCCTGAAGCTAGGTGGTGTCTGGGCCCCATGGGCACATGCCAGGGTGATGGCAGGTGACCTCTGGGGGCAAAATCCAGCCTAACCCTGGCTAGTGAGGTGGGCACTGCATCACTTTGTCACCCAAGTCTCTGGACCCTCATCCATCCAGCCTTCCAGAAGGGCCGTGGGGTGGTGAGGGAGTGCCTGGCACAGCCGGAGCTCACTCAGCAAGGGCAGATGCTGTGACATGTGAGACTGTGATTGATGGAGAGGCCTGTTCCCTGGGACAGGGCCCAGCTCCCCAAGGGTCCCAGGGGTCCAGGGCCGCTCTCCAGCCTGCTTGTCCCGGAGCCAAGCACAGCCCCCAGCACTCACCCCCGTATCCTCCCTGACTGGCTGTCTACCTCTGTCCTCTGAGCCTCTCTCCAGTAGCTGGGGACAAGGCCCCGAGGGTGGAGCTGGGCTCAGGCCTCTTGCCCCTCCCATCCCATGCTCCCCGCAGCCGGCCCCCTGCACCCAGCCCCTCACCCGTGAAGAAGATGTAGTCGAACTTATGCTCCAGCAGCCGCCCAGTCTCCTGGGGCCCGCCCAGCACCACGGCAAAGCAGCTCTGTAAAGGGGGATGGACAAACGGAGGTTCCCTCTGGGGTCCCAGCCTGAGAGCCCAGGTGGCTGCCTGCCTGCCTGGGGCTGCTCCCCCCTTGCCTGGCCTGACCCAGTGATGCCAGGGCTCCAGGTCGGCTGGGTGGGGAGCTGGGAGCCCCCCAGGGACACTGGGCACGGGCAGTACCAGCCCACCACGTGTGAGGTTGGGGCCTGGCAGAGTTAGGGTGGGGACAGAGGCCAGGGTGACCAGAGACAGGCAAGGAGCCCCTGGGGACAGGCGCCACCCCTCTGTTTCACGCAGAGGGGAGCAGAGAAGCTGGTGACCTGGGCAAGGCCACACAACCCAGAGGAGGTCGGAACTCAGGTCCTGCCCCGGGCCCAGGGGGCTGGCCTGGCCCTGCTCGGCCCCAGTGTGGCTGCCGGTCTGCACCGGGCCCGGCTCACCTGGTCCAGGTATCTGGGCAGCACCTCGGCCAGGACCTTCTCAGTGTTCTTGCTGATCTCCGAGGGTTTCAGGACCACGCAGTTCCCTGTGGGGCGGGGCGGGGAGAGGGCAGGCTGTGTGTAGCCACGCCCCATCTCCACTGGGTCCTCACACCTGCAGGGCAGAAGCCCACCTCGCTCCCCCTCCAGGCGAAGAATACAGCTGGGCTCAGAGAGGTGCTGTGCCAGCCCCAAGGCCACATACATGGAAACCAGGCCGTCATAGGCACCTGGTGCCAGCCCCACCCCACTCCTCCCTGGCTCTGGGGCAGCTGTGATGCCACGAGGCTGGGAGGGGATGAGCAGGGGGGCGGGAAGGCCGAGGGTCCCTCTCACCTGCTGCGAGGGCGCCCACCAGGGGCCCCAGGCTCAGGTTCAAGGGGTAGTTCCAGGGGGAGAGGATCAGCACCAGGCCGAAGGGCTCCTTCCGGATGAAGGCCGAGTCCAGCTGAGTGGCCTGGGCCAGGGCCAGAGTGGTGGAGAACAGTGAGGGGCTGGGGTCTCAGCCTGTCAGCTACCCTCCACCCAAAGAGGCCTCCTGATCCCAGCGTCACTCACCAGGTTCTTGGACACTTTCTCATCCTTCATCCAGGCCCTCAGGTTCCTAAGGGCCAAGTTAATCTCGTTCTGGCTGATGCTGATTTCAGACACCTCTGCCTCGAAGGCTGACTGCAGGGTGGGTGAGGGGGAAGGGGCAGGGTCAGGGCTAGGATTGGGGACCCAGGATCCACATGTGGCTGGAGCCCTGGAGAGGGCTGGAGCCCTGGGGAGGGCAAAGCCTGTCTTGTTGACCCATTCATTCATTCATTTATTCACTCCACGTTCACTGAATGCTTACAATGTATGGGTCCCACTCCTGTGCTGGGAACATAGCGGTTATGAAGCAGACAGAAGACCTGCCCCACGGAGCTGACGTTGTGGTGGGGGGCACAGTCCACGTGATGATGAGAATACTGACTACTCCATTAAGACGTGACAAGTGCAACAGAAGGATGGAACAGGGCTTCAGGGTGTGTGCGTGAGTGCCTGTGCATGTGTGTGTGTCTCTGCGCTATTTTACATGAGATGGTCAGTACCAGCCTCTGGGACGGCGTGACATTTGAGCAGTGAAGAAAGGAAGGGAGGTAGCCCATGGATACCTGGAGGCAGGATATTCCAAGCTGAGGGTATGGCATGTGTAAAGGTCCTGAGGTGGTGCAGGCTTTGCTCTCTCCCTGGTTAGCAAGCAGGAGAGTGGGTGAGGTGATGAGGCCCAGCCACTGGGGTGAGGACCGCCGAGCAGAGCAGGGACAGGATCTAACTCAAGTTTGAACAGGACTGTCCGTGTGGCCCTGTGTCCTGCTTTTGTGGATGTCAGTCTGCAGCAGACACTGGGGACAGGTGTCTCTGGATAATTGCCATCAGTTCCCACAGCCCAGGGGCCAAGGGCAGATTTTGAGGGCAGGAGTCAGAAAGAGGCAAAAATCAATAGGGACATTGTTCTGACCTCTGCTGGCTGGCATGCCTGCCCCACCCCCACGAGGGAGGAGGGACCCGGCACGTGGGCCGCAGGCAACTGGAGGCCCATGGCCCGGGGCACCAGAGCCAAGCTGTCCTCATGCCTGAGACTCCACTGTTACAGTGAGAGCACCTTCCTGCCAGAGATGAGGGTGATGGGCCTAGGGTGCCAGAGCTGAGCCTTGAGCGGGAAGGGTGTGGGGACCTGGAGGAGGAAGCCCTGGCCACCAGCTCCTCTGGGAGCTGAGCCTGCTTCAGGCATGCCTTCTACCGTGTCTGTGCTCACAAGCCACACTCCTGCCCAGCGAGATCTCCTGTGACCTGCGTGAGGTTTGGGCCTGTTTAAGGGGCTTCTCTGGTGACTCAGATGGAAAAGAATCTGCCTGCAATGCAGGAGAACCGAGTTCAATCCCCAGGTTGGGAAGATCCCCTGGAGGAGGGCATGGCAACCCACTCTAGTATTCTTGCCTGGAGAATCCCATGGACAGAGGAACCTGGTGGGCTACAGTCCATGGGGTCACAAATAGATGGACACGACTGAGCGACTAACACTTTCACTGTTTTCAAGGGATGATCTGGACCCCATTGAATGCCATGGAAGAGTAGGCTGTTTTCAGCAGGGGCTGTGTGCCCTCAGGCAAGAACATGCTGTCTCTCAGTCACCTCTGAGGGTGACTGGGTGTGACCACCTGTACCTGGAAGGGCTGTTGGAGGTTAAGTGGGAGCATTCGTGCAGGGCAGACAGGGCAGATGCTGCCTGCTGGGAGGGTGGGAACAGGGCTGACTGAGACCAGAGGGAGGGACAGATTGGATTTCCTGGGCTGCTGCTCCCTTTATGGGGCCCTGGCTCCTAAAGCCTTGAGGGTTGGAGGTGGGAGGTGAAAACTGAGCTGTAGGGAGAAGAGGGACCAGATAGGCGGTCGGGTCAGGTGTCACAGAGGCGGACAGGCCAGGCCCGCAGGTGTGCGGGCAGAGGCTCCGTGGGGGTACTAGCCCCCAGGGAGCCCAATAAGCCAGGTTAGGGATGGGAGTCCCCTCTGTCGTGGACCAGGTCCAGTGAGGACACTCCACACAGGGAGGCAGAGCCAGGCCCCTTGGATGTCAGAGAGCCAGGGAGAGGATGCTCTGGCACCCTGGTTTCATAAATGGGACAACAGATGATTCCAGAAATAGCTGATGAGGGAGCCCAGCTATAGTCCTGGAGCATGGCGATAAACCGAAGGTTGAGGACACTGAGAAAGTGGCTAGGCATCACCGGGAGGTCACATCCTAAGGACAAGTCCTTGTCACCAGCTTTTGCTGTCCCCATGGAATGGGGGTGCCTTGATCCATGACCTCAGATGCCACGAAACCCCATAATCTCCGAGTCTAGGCCTGCTCTGGAGCCAGGGTGGACACCCGGCTGGGTGTCTGCAAATCAGGTGGGTCCCAAGGAGGCTGAAAAGCCACTCCCAGGTCTGCCAGGGCTGGCATCTCTCCTACGAACTGGGTGGAGCCAGCAGGCCCAGCAGAATGGCAAAGATGGCCCGAGGGCGGTAAGGGATGACCCCAGGGTTCCCTGGAGGGCTCTGCTTATGGACTCAGGAGGGTTGAAGAAAAGCTCGGTGTTCAGCACAAGCCAGTGTGGGACTGCTGCAGCCCCTGGGGACAAGTGGTGACCACAGCAGCTGCCCAGCAGCCAGCATGCATCTTGGGCCTGTCCTGGTGTGAAGTATCGGAATAGCACCTTTACAGTTGCCAAAGAGTCACAGCCTTGGAGGGTTATTGGTGGTGAGGGGCAGGGGGGCGCCAGGGTGAGTCTGGACACTGTGGCTTTGTGGCAAGCACAGGGATCTTTTGTCCAGAGAAGAAACCTGGGGACAGCTGTCTTGGGGCAGCGGCAGCCACATGGGTGGGCCCTACTGGCTGAGAGGGTGGGAGGTTGACTACAAGGAAGGATATTTCTTGGGGTCCTGTCATGGCTACTGCTGGAAATGGGAGGGACTGAGCCCCAGGCCTCCAGGGTTTGGACAGAGGCCATGATGCCCACAGTACCTGGTGAAGCCAGAGTTCCCCCAACACACATGGCCTTAGGGGTGCGACCCTCCTGGCTGGACCTCATCCCTCATGTGTCTCCACCTCTAGGCCTCCCCTCCAGCCACGCCAGCCTCCTTGCTGCTCCTCCAGCACAAACACACCAAGCACCTCCAGCCTCAGGGCCTTTGCTTGTGCTGGGCCCTCTGCCGTTTTCCCCCTTGTCCCTGGGACACTTCCCCCTCCCCTTCACACCTCACCATCTCCAGGAAACCTCCCTTAACTCCCACATATGAAACAGCACCCTGACCCTGGCCCGCTCTCACCCCCTTCACACTGGGAGTGTCTCTCCATGGTATTTATCACCACCCAACATGCTTTGTATTTATTTACTGTCTAATTGTGTCTCTCCCCGGGAGGCCAGCTCCCTGGACACAGGGACTTGGTGTTTGTTGTGTCCCCAGAGCCTAGAACAGAACCTGGCACATAGTAAGTGTTCAATAAATAGCGGTGGAGTGGGGGAATTCCCTGGCGGTCCAGTGGTTAGGACTCAGCGCTTTCACTGCCGAGGTGCAGGTTCAATTCCCTGTCGGGGAATTGACAAAAAATTCCCAAAAGCTGTTCATGTGCATGCGTGCATGCGTGCTAAGTCGTGGTCCGACTCTTTGCAACCCCGTGCCCACCACACTTCTCTGTCTATGGAATTCTTCAGGCAAGAATACACTGGAGTGGGTTGCCATACCCTCCTCCAGGGGGTCTTCCTGACCCAGGGATCAAACCTGTGTCTCTTATGTCTCCTGCATTGGCAGGTGGGTTCTTTTCCACTAGCGCCACCTGGGAAGCCCCAAATAGCAGTGGAGAGGAGGTAGGCATGAACGACTAAATGAATGCAGAGGAGTGGGTTCTGATACAGGAAAGGAGGTTCGTGATGGCTTTTAGTTCCCCTTTGTGGAGGATGCAGCTGTCCCCACCTTCGCTGCCCACCCCCCACCCCTGCCCCTCTCCCCGCAACCTCCCTCCCCTAACCCCTGCCCTCCTCCCCCCACCCCTGCCCTCCTCCCCTCATCCACCCCTGCCCTCCTCCCCCCACCCCTGCCATCCCCACCCCTGCTCCCTTCCCCACCCCTGCCCTCCGCCCCCCACCCACCTTGTGCAGGTCCTGAGCCAGCGCCTCCAGCAGAAGCTGCTTGTTCTCTCGCAGGAAGCGGCTCAGACCGTTCAGCTGGGCGGCCCGGAACTCTGCTGGCCGTGTGCGCCCCGAGCTGAAGGCCTCCCGCAGCCGCTGCAGGGTGTCCGCAAAGGGGTCCATCCTGCAGGGCGGGGGCAGCGTGGGTCGGGGTGCTGCCACCTCCCTGGCCCCCTCCACGGCCCCTGCTCGCACCCACGTGGGCCCACGGACACCCCCTCAGGGACTCACACATAATCCCAGGGACCCGGGCTGCCCCACCTACACACACACACACCACACACATGCACACGCAGGACACACTTAGACAGCCACTGACAGAAGTACAGATCACGCCCCTCGGCCAGTGGGCAGGAGGGCCCTGGACCCCAGGGCAGTCACGGGCCAGGGCCCGGGCTGGGGGACAGCTACTCCACAGCCCCTAAGGGCGAGCAGGCGGCCAGGGGACCACGCGTCTTCCTGCCGCGCAGAGAAGAGCCTTAAGCCATGGCCCGCCCCCGCTCAGCACCCCTCCCGGAGATGGCAGCCCTGAGCCCAGCAGGCCTGAGTGGAGCAAACGGGGGGAGTGTGGCCACCAACGGCCCCTGCAGACACCTCGTTGGGACATTTCCGATGCAGAATGCCCTGCCACCCCTGGTCCCTAGGCGGGGGGCCCTGCCCAGAGAGGAACAGGCTGGTGGGCGGTGGCTCAGAGGCCGGGTGAGAGGACCCCCGCCCCCGCTGTGGCCCAGCTCCACAGCAAAATGGGGAAGGAAGAGCTCGCCTCCCACAGGTGCCGCAGCTCACCCCCACCCCGCGGTCACGGTGCAGGAGGAACAGAGAGTCGGGGGTGGCGAGCAGTGAGGGGCAGCCCGGCCCGCGTGCTGGCATCAGCCTGGGCCGGCAAACTGGGTAAGGGCCCTGGCATTCCCCGGGGCCCCCGCCTGTTTACCTGAAGCTCATGAGAGGAGTGCTCTGACGCACTTGGTCCTCGGCCTGGTGCCAAGGACCCATGGGGGCCCTTTCCTTCTTCCCTTCTGACTCCCCTCGGGTCTCTGCTTGGCTGATGCCTCCTTCAGGCAGCCCACCATGATTACTCCCTTATACATTCTCACAGGGGTCCCGCGACCGTGCTCCCTACCACACTGTGTGTGTGTGAGTTGCTCAGTCGTGTCCGACTCTGTGATTCCCATGGACTGTAGCCCGCCAGACTCCTCTGTCCATGGACTGCTGCAGGCAAGAACACTGGAGTGGGTTGCCATGTCCTTCAGGGGATCTTCCTGACCCCGGGATCAAACCCGGGTCTCCTGCATTGCGGGCAGATTCTTCACCCTCTGAGCCCAGGGAAGCCCACCCTCTGTCGTACTTTGTGGTAGATACCTGGTTTCTTTCTGTCCTCTTCTCTGTCCCCACCCCCATCCCTCTCCTCTCCCACTAGACTGGGAGGCAGGACCCCACTTTGCCTTCTCAGCCTGTCACTTGGGTCTTTGTGCTCCCCATCTGTTAGGGTCTCCCTTCCACCTACCAGCTGACAGGGTTTTTTTTTTAATCAAGGGTGAGACCCTGCCAGCCTGTTCGGGGCCCAGGGCATGGCATCAGTGCCCCCAGGGCAGTCAGCTACGGTTAAGTGGCCACTGCTGCCACAGCCCTAAGTTTTCTGCAGGGCTCCATGACTGCCTGGGCCAAGCTGCTCCAGCTGACAGGATGGCCTGGCACGATGGACTCTGTGCCAGAGCCTGACAGGAGCCCTGCGCTGTCCCCATACGCGTGATGGAAGCCAGACTGAGCCCACAGGCCTCCTGCTGCGATCAGGAGAAAGCGGGCAATTGTCTGGGCACAGGGTGGACTCCATGGCCCCCAGATAGAGTGACAGTGCCCCAGAGCAGGCACATTGTCAGGGCCGCTCTCAGCCCCAGGCTCACCCTCCGCTCCCACCCTCCTCCTGGGAAGAAGGCATACCAGCCAGAGGCCAGGAGCCCAGAGCCTTGATGACCCCCAGGGCCACCTCGTGAGCTCAAACCCTGACCCGGCCTCTTCTGGCTGTGTGACCTTGAGCAAGTCACTCGTCTTCTCTCTGCCTCAGTTTCCGTGTCTGTAAAATAGGGGTGCCGATAGCACTTGCTCTAGAGAAGGAAACGGCAACCCACTCCAGTATTCTTGCCTGGGAAATGCCACGGACAGAGGAGCCTGGCGGGCTACAGTCCGTGGAGTCACAAAGAGTTGGACACGACTGAGCGACTAAACCACCATCACCAATAACACTTGCTACTGTCCGGAGGATTAAATGATGTATCACCTTGGGAAGCAGTGGCTGTTGCCCGCATAGTTAATGGTCAGCTGTGGTTATTGTTACCAAGTGCTCGGCAAATATTTATTTATCCCTCTTCCCTTGCCCCCACCCCCTCTCACCTTCAGATTCTTGCTGACGGTGCTGAGGGCAAACCACACCTGCCCCCTCCCTCCTCTGCAGGGTTCGTTTCCTAAGCGTCTCCGCAGAACCCACAAAAATGTGAGGCATCTCACTTGAAGGGAGCATCTCCCGGTGCAGTGAGGGGCGGGGAGCTCTGCGGGGGTGGAGGTCTGGTTGGAACATTCCAGCAGCCTCTCCCGGCAACACTGAGGCCAACTCACAGAATAGTGCCCCCTGCAATTTGGTCAGGACCGAGTCCCCCCACCCCCCAGGGGTGCCTGCTGGGGAGCGGGGAGCTTGACTCCAAAGTTACCTGTGGGGCCTGGGGCCTGAGGGAACCCTGGGCCTGTGACCTCACAAGGGAGCCGAGCAGCTGCTGTGGACACACCAGTGCATGGGTTCCTGCACCGGGGGGTCTGGGGGCCCTGAGCCCACCTCCCTGGGAGCTGTTAAGTCATTTGATGTGACAAGGGACGGCTGGTTTCCCGGGGGCCCTGGAAGCTTCCCTCGAGGCAAGGGGCCCGGGGAGGCGCTAGTAAGAATAATAACGACCAGGTGTTGATGCTGCAGGTACTGTGTCAGCGGCGGGGGCACCAGACATGGGTACAGCATGGTGTTCGGATGGCATCCCTGAAGGAAGCTGAGGCCCTGGGCCCATGGCATCGAGGACACTGGCAGGCGGGGTGGACACTCAGGTCTGCCGCCTCCAAAGCAGTATCGGGAAGCCGCTGCTGCCCGGGCCCTGCCCCTGCACCCTGCCTGGTCCTGCCGATGAGCTACCTCCCAGCTGCCACCCCTGTCCACCCTCTCGTGCTTTCTGCCTTGGTTTCCCCATCTATACCACAGTCCCTCTAAAAGCATGCTCCCAGTATGCCGTGTCAGGGGCCCAAGGACCTGGGTCCAAATCCCAGGTTATCAGCTCGGGTCTTGGGCAGGTGGCTTGGCCTCCCCGTGGCTCGCTTTTCCCATCTGTGAAATGGGCATGATGCCTATGTTTACCCTGTGGTGCTGGGAAGCGCTTGGGGCCGGGCCGAGCCCCATGAGTGCTGATGATTGTTATTCAAAGACAGCAAAGGACGTCTGTGCCGAGGGATCCAAGAGGAGAAGACCCTGGGGTAGGAACCCAAGGAGACCTTGGCCCAGTGTGGACACCCGGGAGGCAAGGACATCAACTTGGGACCCAGTGGGGGCAGGGAAGCGGAGCCAGCAAGAGCGACAGAGGTGACCTTGGTGGTCTGAGGGCCTGGGGAGCCCCTCGACCGTCAGGTGGAGGTCCCCGGCCTGCCTCGAAAGCCCCACAGGCCCCAGTACCCTAGAGTCTCTAGTCTGGCCTCACCCCGGGACCTGTGTAGCCTTAACCTGGATTTTCCCAAGGTCTCCCACACTCTGGGCAGCAGCAGCCTCCCTTCCGTGGGGGCCGTGGGGAGCTGGGGACCAACCCTTGGCCGTGGGCTGAGCCAACCCCAGCCCCGCTGCGTGGAGAGGCTGTGCCGGCAGCTAGACTCCCTGATGCTGGTCAGGTCCGTCTGATAACAGCTTCTCTTTGAGGCAGGGAGGGCGGGGCCTAGCTGACCTTTCTTCCTGGATGTTGGCAGGGTCCATTCCCAAGAATGTGATAGCTCAGAACCACTCACAGTGAACCCTACCCTAGCAGTGGGTACGTTTGGCCGATGCCCAGGAAATGTGCTGTCAGATGGATGCTTGACGCCACTCCCCTCCACCCCAGGGACAGGGGTGTATTCCTTCCTGAGGCAGCCAGTCCAGAGCTGGGTCCCCTGGCTCCCTCAGTAACTCCAGCCCAGCTCAGACTCAGTACGGGTGCTGGCTGTCTCAGGGACCCTCTGCTCCTCTCTTTGATCTCTGAGGTTGGGGCGAAGGGAAGTCCATTCCTCTTCCTCCTTTCTCCCCAGGCGGGCAGAGCAGCTCTGAGAAGACAAAGCTGGCTTCTGCATGTGACCGTAAGGGGTCAGGCCTGCCATGACCCAGAGCAGCCAGAGTCCCGACAGCAGCCCAGAGTCCCCATGCCAGCCCGCCGGCAGGCCCCTGGCCCTGACCACTGGCCACTGCCTCCCCAGCTGCCACGGAGCACCATACCTGAGGACCTGCCCAGATGCCCGTCTTCCTGGTCGACCGCGTTCTGCCTAGCTGCCCGCCCTGCTGTTATGAAATGTCCAGGGCTGGGCCGGCCCCTGGGGCGGGGCCGCCCTGGCCTCGTGCCTGACTTTGACTCTGGACTGGCCGGAGGCTGCAGGCTGAGATTTCATTACCACTTCCTTCAGTTGGTTGGGGGCGTGGGGGTACTTCTAGGTCCTTCCCTGGACCACAGAGAGAGGGCCAGGGCCCAGAGAGGGCTAGCACCAGGCCAGCACCACACAGCAGGCCTCAAGGGAGCTCTGAGCTGAGGCTCCATCCTGAGGCCTTAGGTGGGAAGGGTTCCAGGCCGGGCTGGAGGAGTCCAGGGAGTAGAATTCTGGTATGGATGGGGGCGGCGGCCTGGAGAGGCAGGGAAAGCCTGCTCCCCACAACCCCCCCACCCCTGCCCCTCTGAGCCTCAGTTTCCCATCTGCAAAGTGAAGAGATCAGATCCAAAGACAGCTGGAGTCTGGAAACACAAACTCAGGGCCCAGGCGGGCCGCAGGCTTCGTCCTGACGGCCGCCTATCTGTGTCCATCAGCATTATCTGCCTCCCCCAGCACCCCACTCGCGGCGCCTGTCACCCCTGCAACATGACGAT